TACAGACCGGTTCCCGCTCACTGGCTGAGTGAGGCGCGGGAGCAGCACCAAGGGTTGCAATCCCGTTGCCGGTCCCCAGTCCGGTACGGGGGCAACACTGAGGGTTGTGATCCGTTGCCGGACACGGAAAAAGATAAAAGACAAAAAAAAAAAAAAGAAAGAAAAAAAGAAATATCTTGAATCTCACTCCCTTGAGAAGTATGTTCTTTTAAATGAAAGCATAAACTACATTTCATGTTTACTTTTTTATTTGGAGCAATAAAGGCAAATCACATTCTAAATTTTTTAATGTCTTCTGTAATAGGAATGAAACTAACTTGGGTTTAATATTTTTTAAGCATAGATACTTTTAATTCCACATTTACCAGGTTGCATGAAAAGTCTGCTTGTTCTAAAAATCTTCAGTGACTTACATCTTGTTTTAGATGCATATCCAGCTTTTAACCTGTGAGAAAAGGAAGTATCTTAAATAGAGCCAGTAAAGTGAACAGCCGCCTAATGCATGTAGAAGACCACATACATTTTTTTAATAGCTGTCAGCTTAACCAAAGAGACTCAGCCCCTAAATTCTCCTGTGACTTATTAACTGTGAAATGCAAAGCCAACTATTATAGTGCACTTTGAATACTCAGGCTTCTGAATCTCTTCTTTCCTCTCCTTTTTTGTTTTATCGTGTTCCCCTGTGCAGAAGGAATCATATGCTTCTCCTTTTGGAGATAGTTTGCATTATTTTGAATTTGAGTGAGAATTATATTGAAAAGGGCAGTCATCCATATCTCTAGCTGATCGAGAAATTTTTACTATTCCATAAAATATGTTCTAAAAGAAGTGGCATATCCTAATTAGTATAGAGAAAGTAAGATAACATCCTTTTGTGCTTTTTGTCCAACCTATTCTGAATTTAGCAATGTGAACATATGAGGGAACATGAGCTTCAATATCACTTAGCTCCCCTTGAAATAAAATTGGGGTACATTTTCCCCCTTTTAAACAATAAAGAAACAGACCCTTCTTTGTTTCTCACTGGTCGCCAAAGGGAATGCTGTATGAACACTTCAGTTGTGGATGCAGCTACAATATTAGAAGGCCCCAAGTCCTCTCTCTCCAGTTGGTGTCGCCATGTAGTGAAGGGGTAATGCTGTTTATGTGAGTAAGGAGAGCTGAGGCGGCTCCTGTGATGAGTGAGGACACCTGTCATACAAATCACCTCAGTTAGATGACGCTTTCACTGTAAGAACTAGTGAGAAACCAACTAGAGGTGCACCTGCCTGGCTTCTGTGAGCTGTGCTGAATCACATGCATGTACTGCCTCTTCATTAACGTCCTCAGATAGTTCGCATTATAAATCTTAGCAATGCTGCACAGATAACGCTTCTGGCCTACGGTGAGGTCTCGATGCTAAAAGACAGAATAAGACAAGGGTTTGGATCCCCGCACTGGCCAGCCACCAAATGAATGAGTGAATAAATAGATAAATACACAAACAGAATAAGAAGATTTATAATCTGCATTGTAAAACAGAGGTTGGCATTATTCGTAATCTGAAAGGATGAATGTTCAGGACAGTTGTACCATCTGTACATTATACCTAAGCAAATTCAACTATGTTAACTTGGCCAAAAGAGAAAGAAATGGCCATTTAAACAGTGCAAGTGACTGCTTGCCATTCTACTCAAACGATTCAGATGCCCTGTGAGGTTTGAGAACCCACTGCCCTAGAGGAACAAGGAAGCAGTGAATGTGCTGTTTCGTCAGCGAATCTTAGTTCCCATATACCCCAGTGTGGCTCTTTTTTTTTTTTTGTAGCCACAAAAACAACACATATTTGTAAAATCAACTCCAATAGACATTGTACATTGTACACAGACATCTTATAAGAGAATATGTAAGGGCACCATGGCCTCCTTGTTTAAAAGGGACACATTACAAAAACATGAAGCACCAGGCACTATATCCCAACCCTAACTTCTAGATGGCCTCTCAGGAGGTAGCACAGAAAAGTTCTAAAACACGTTGCCTTCTCAATATGATTTTTGAGGTATATAACATGATACCTAAAAGCAATCTAGTTACCTACTTAGTCTAAACTAAAAAAACATCTTTTCCAGCACCGGAAGAATGTATGGTCTGCGTTGGACATACTGAGGGATAGTATGTTCATCTCTAAAGTAATTTTGACTGCGATTTTCATTGTACTTGCTGATTTTAGAAGTTAATGCTCACTTAAAATGCAAGAATGCACTATATATGCATATGTATATACACAGAGATTTACTTAATAGGTAATAAATCCAGAGAAAAGTCAAAATGTTGGTCAGAAAAATTTACCAGTGTGCTGAAATCCATAGTAACCCTAATTCACTTTGCTCTAGAAATATTTCTAATAGGTATGATCTTTAATGGGTACTACAGCTCAACAGTTGTAAAATCCTTACTGTCATTTTTTTACTTGCTTTCTCCTAATTTTGTAGTCCTTGAGTGAAATCTTTACAATGTTGGGTTTCCATCTCTAGTATGGAACTTTCGTTGAGTATCAGTGTGGTCAGGGCAGAGCTTCCTGAGTAAATATAAATTAGATCTGAAGTATAAAACACTGAAAGAATTCTTATGATAGAGAATTTGTAATCTTTACATTCATTCATGAGTTTACCTAACAGGTATTTCTTGACTCCTAGATAATATGCAGGCTATACTTTGTCATCTCCAGTGCTTTACCTTCTACGTAGCTTATCTTCATAAAAAGTTAGCTCTGAATACAAAAAGTATTGGTATTTAAATACTTCTCTGTTTGAAAAGGAATCAATCAATATTTCCCATTAGCATACCTTTAGAAAGGATGCATCTGTCATTGATTTAGGGATGTGAATTGTTTGAGGAGATTTCCATAACTCTTGCAGCTTAGCTATGTGTGAGTTCACTTTGTGTCCATCTATGATTCCGTCTGTAGGCAAGGACAATATTGTGAATTTCAGAGGCAAAAATCAGTTCAAACTTACTATGATCTAGATGGTTACATGTGTCAATGAGTGTTTTATATCAGACTGTTAAATTTGAAGATACAGTATGATATGCCTTTGGTGTTAAAGCACACAAACATCTAAGATACTTATATTTTATTTATATATATATATAATTATACATCATTATATATGGACTATATTATTTTGAACTCAGCTAAGATGCAAAGTGTTGCCAGTAACTTACTTTTTTTTTTTTTCCCTTTTTGTCTTTTTTCGTGACCGGCAATGGATCGCAACCCTCAGTGTCGCACCCGTACCGGACCGGGACCGGCCACGGGATCGCAACCCTCAGTGTTGCTCCCGCCCCTCGCTCAGCCAGTGAGCGGCTGGTCTGTATGTGGGATCCGAACCCTTGGCGGGAGCGCCACCACGCTTCCCAAGTGGCGCACTATAGCAGTGCGCCACCGGGCCGGCCCCAGTAACTTACTTTTTTTTATCATGTCAGAAACATACTAAAGAGGAAATACACATGCAGGATTTATGCATTAAAGATTTACAACATTTTATCATTCATTTGATTTTAGTATATGGTTTTAAAATTCTATTCTGTATTAAAGATAGAATAACGCATATTTTATTTCTTTAGTAATACAATGTTAGAGGGCTTTGCAGATATTTATCAAAATTTATTTTTACATAATTTAAAATATAGATGTGAGCAGAATAAAAGAATAGCCTTTTAATTAAAATAAAAGTTGAGACATGGTCCCAGAAGAATAGAAACTGGCCTTCAGTTTCAGAAATATTGAGACTAGTAGTTTAGTCTCAATATTCACTCTGTTAGTAGCTAACTTCATTAGCAGCTTGGGGAAAAATAATATAAAAAATATAAATTTTATCAGGAAATACCATTTTTCAATACTTCCCTCTTCCCTGCACATCCTTTTCCAGGCAACAACTGATGTGCTTTCTATAACTATAGATTAGATTGCATTTTCTTGAGTTTGACATAAAGGGAAACACACAATATACTATTTTTGTCTTGCTGCTTTCACTCAACATAATTATTTTGAGATCCACACATACCATATGTAACAATAATTCATTCCTTTTTATTGTTAGGTTATATTCCATTGTATATATACATATGCCACAATTTGATTATCCATCCACCTACTGATGGACATTTGGGTTGTTCCCAGTTTTTCACTATTAGAAATAAAACTCATAGAACACATTTTAAGTTAAAAGTTTTTACTTAGTAAATTGAATTAAGTAAGCACAGTTTTGTTTCAATATTATTGATTAATAATAAAACCACTATTGTTTTGTATATTCAACTTTAAATTTAGTTATTTCTTCAAGATTTTGGCAACTTGGATGGCTAGTTAAGTAAGATAAGTAAGAGTTATATTTGCATCCTGAAGTATTACTTGGCCAACAAAAGTTAAATCACCTAGAAATTGTGTTAGTATGACCCTTGAAACATAATTTAGAATCTAATAATAAAATGAATATCAATTTAGCATTTTTTAAATTTTATTTTTTAAAAATTTAACACATTGGTCAGAGACTTTTTTAAAAAACATATGTCAAACCCTTCCTTACAGAGTACCCAATCCAGAAAAGAGTTCAATTTACTGGAATAAAGCAGCTCACAACATATCTTTGAAGAATCATTCAGAGATTTATCTTCTCAACATGTATGTGAAAACCACCTCTAACAAGCCTTTAAACACATTGGTCACAAACTTCCTATTAAAAAACATGTCAATAAGACTATTTATTTAAGAATATGTCTTCGGTGTCCTTGCTAAACAATATTTCTAAGATGCATATTATAGTCTGGACTAAAATTTAATTTCTCAAAAACTTAATAGCATTTCTTTACAGAAAATGAAGCATTTAAAAATAAATAGTTAGGGCCGGCCCGGTGGCGCACTGGATAGTGCGCCGCTTGGGAAGCACAGCGGCGCTCCCGCCCGAGGGTTCGGATCCCACATACAGACCGGTTCCCGCTCACTGGCTGAGCGAGGCGCAGGAGTAACACTAAGGGTTGCAATCCTGTTGCCGGTCCCCGGTCCGGTACGGGGGCAACACTGAGGGTTGTGATCCGTTGCCGGACACGGGGAAAAAATAAATAAATAAATAA